CTCACTGTACGCGCGAAGTTTTGCGCCTCGGCATACACACACCGCGCTCCCACCAGTCCGGAACCCCTGCGCGGGTTTGACCGCGATCTTTTCTGCGACGGGCTCGACGAGGTTCGGTTTAAGCGCGACGGTGGCTCCGTTTGAGGGAGAAACTATACAACCCAGATGCGCAGCGACGGCTTCGTACCGTGAGCGAGAAGTCGCACTCGATGCCGAGCTGCATACGCACCAGCGCATGCGGATCCGCCTCCGCGTCCACGACAAGCTCCGTCACTTCGTCCGCGACGCGTTTGACCTCTTGACAGCCCGGCCGACCGACCTGCGCACGGCCTCTCGTTTCGCCACCGTGCCCTTCTTGTGTAGTCCGGTCCGAGGGAAGACAGCGCAGTCACCCGGTGTTGTTGAAGAACACGCGCGTGGCCCCGACTTTGGGAGCTTTCGCTTTCGAGGCGGGCATAGATCCGCGGCAGACTGGAGGAAGGCGATTTCGGGTCGAAGAGATGAATGGACGCGGAAGTAGACGACATTCTGTGGTGGGAGCTAACGCGGAGGCGTGATCTCACACCCGTCGGAGCATGCGCTGTGCTAAATTCGGATGAGTTCCGCGTGATAACTGCAGCAACTCATGAAAAAATGGGAATGAAAGAGACCAGAAACTGACTTTCCGGATGCCGATACAACTTTGAGGGGGGGGATTCTCGCGTGAGACGGAGAAGGAGAATGTACGAGGTGCGGGACGCAAAGAGTTGGAACTACAGGCCCGAGTGGGCCGGGCGGTGAGGTCGGTAACTAGAGTATGAGCCGGGGCACTACAGTATGGCACAGCAGAGCAATCTACCAATTCATGAACCGTACTTGTGAGACGCTCTTCATTTAGATGGTCCAATGGTTAAGATTCCGCCTGTCAGTACTTCTGATTATCGCGGGCGACCGGGGTTCGATTCCCGTCTGAGAGCGTTTTGCTCTACCGGCGTAGCTCTCCATACAATTCAAATGCGTCAGTCATTTTCTTGTCGATCATTCACTTTCCCCGGTCCACCTGCGAAGAAGTTGCAGTAATTTTTGCCAATCTGGTCGTTTCGTCTCATCCGGAGCACATGTACGCTCGTTGGATCTGCATGTTTTCTGTTTTCAAGCCTTCATCAGTACATCATATGTACATCGTCATTCATCAATTCGAATGACCGCGACGCATCATGTGACCGTTTCCCGGGCTGAGCTCTTTCTCTTTCACCAAGTAGGCATGTACGGCCAAAAAGCCAAGCGAAGGACGCATGTACGACCAGAGCTCTCACGGAAGAGCAGAAGCAGAAATCAAAGAAGCGTTCGAGCTATTCGACACGGACAAAGACAAGGCGATCGACTACCACGAGCTCAAGGTCGCGATGCGCGCCTGGGGCTTCGACATGAAGAAGGCGGAGGTTCTCAAGCTTCTGCGAGACCACGATAAATCCGGGCAGGGACTCATGGAGTTCGAGGACTTTGCGAAGATTAGTGCGTGGCTTGCGCGTGGCGGGATTTTGCCGCGTTCTGACCACCTCTCAGTGAGCGAGCGAATCCTGGCCCGAGACCCCATGGATGAGATTCGACGGGCGTTCCAACTATTTGATGAAGAGGGTACTGGGAATTACGCTGAAGAATTTGCGGCGAGTGGCGAAGGAGGTGGGGGATCGTCTGGAGGACGAGGAGCTGTGCGGCTGCGTGTCATTCTCTGGAGCTTGAGCTGACTGCTTTCTTTCAGGCAAGCTATGATCGAGGAGTTGACCTCGACCAGGACGGAGAGATCAATGAGCAGGAGTTCATCGCCATAATGACGGATGATTCATGAAGATTTACGACTGGCGCATCTGTACAATATATCCCTGCATTTACATTTTTACAGTTAAAATCACACATTCAACATGCTTGACTTAAACCAGCACCCAAGCCGTGTCTTTCCCCTCCCCACCGATGCGGCGAACAACCCCTTCCCCTTCCAACTTGCGCAAATGCAAGTCAACCCCGTGAGCAGCAGGAAGCCACAAAGATTCAGGGTACGCCGCGTAAATATGTGTCACGATTGTCCAAGTCGTCCACGGCCTCCGCTTAAGGGCGCGGTCTTGATCACACCGAGGATCTGCGCCTCCCGCTCGAGCCGATGCTTGATGTAATTTCGATGACCTTGCGACCATCGGAGATGACGGGTCCGTGCCCCGGATAGAGTGTGGAGATGTTGTGCGTGTTGACGAAATCGAGCATCTTGCGTACTGGCGATGTACGTGGCGAGGTCCTCGAATACGGCGGTGCCCTGCCCGAGAACGGTGTCGGCGGTGTACAAGGCTTCGTCTTGGGGGAAATAGATGCAGATGGAGTCGACGGTGTGTCCCGGTGTGCAGCACCTGCAGGCCAGATACTGTCGATCCATCTGTCAGCGGGTGAAATGCTCCCCATCAGCTGCGGGGAGAAACGCTCCCGTCGGTAAGGATGCGAATATCGAAGGAATGTGATCATTCGTATGGCCCGACCCAGGGAACTTGTGTAACCGCGGTGGCTGAATGGAGCAGAGACATTGCGCTCGTCCCAAAGCCGGCGCAGAAGTGCTAGCACCGACGGGATTCCTCCGACATGGTCTCCGTGCCAGTGGCTGATGATGATATCGGAGATGTCGGGTTCGTCGAGCCAGCGGGACTTTCAGCATCGCGAAGAGCGGATCGAGGATGGGAATGTATTCATCTCGACCTTCACCCGTGTCAACGAGCGTGAAAGGCCTCTGCTTCCCAAATACGTAGGTATTCGTTCCTGTGAGCCATTTCAGAGATAAGTTCTGTGCTTGTGGGTGAAATTCGACCTTGAAGCGTAAACTTGCCGGGATTCTGTGCACGCAGGATGAGAACTTGCTCGTGGGATGCAGAGGGTATTCACCTGGCCCAAGACCCGGATGACACTCTCGCTCAGCTGTATCTGACTCAGCACGTCTGTTTACCTCTGAGTTGTTCACACACCGCGTAATGGATGCCAGAGTTTCGAGTTTCTCCATGGGTGGTGGTTGTGAGATAGTCACTAGATACGATCGTGATCGGCTCCGGCCCGGACATCGCTTCCTCTCTTTGTGCCATGTCGAGTCGACGGGTCACATACTATTACGATCGTACAGAGTCCACCTGCACGATTGGCTCCGCTGAACCTGTTACTGCAGCCGATGTCGGGGCGTATTCCTTCGGATACAACCAATACATGAAACCCCATCGCGTCAAAATAACGCACGACCTCGTTTCGGCGTATGGGATGCTGGATAAACTGAACGTACTGGTACGCTGACCGGCTGTATCCCTCTGCCCTTCTCAAAAGGCATCTCAGAAACCGAATCGCGCAGGGCCAGGCGCGTGATTCCGTCTACGACAATTGGAAAACAGCTGAACCAGAGACCCAGAGCCATGACGCGTTTTCACACCGACGAGTACATCCAGTTTCTCAACAAAGTGACACCGGAGACATATACGAAGCTGAGTTACAATGGCTCACGCTGTGCGCCTCCTCCGTTTCTATCCGGGTCGCTACTAATCGCCACCAGTCCTGGTCGGCGACGACAATCCACCGTTCGAGGGTCTCTTTGAATTCAGTTCCATCTCTGCAGGCGGGTCAATCGGTACGCTTTTTCCTGCTCCATTATCCATCCGCAGACATATGTCTCCATCAGCTGCCGCGGAACGACTGAACGACGGAGCGGCGGACATCGCGATTAATTGGGCTGGGGGCCTGCACCACGCGAAGAAGAACGAGGCATCCGGCTTCTGCTACGTCAACGACATTGTTCTCTGCATTCTCGAGCTCCTTCGGAGTCTCCCCCGCGTGCTGTACATCGACATCGACTGCCACCACGGTGACGGCGTCGAGGAGGCGTTCTACACCACGGACCGGGTGATGACATGCAGCTTCCACAAGTTCGGTGCCTTCTTCCCCGGGAGCGGTACCCAGGAGGATCAAGGTCGCGGCTATGGCAAAGGCTATGCGGTGAACGTTCCGCTGAAGGATGGGATAACGGACGAAGCGTACAAGAGCGTGTTTCAGCCGGTGCGTTCTGCTTCATGCGCTTGACTCCCGCCTCGAGCAGATCCCCCAGGTTATCGCTAAGATCATGGAGGTGTTCCGCCCTTCCGCGGTGGTCCTCCAGTGCGGGGCAGATTCCCTCGCTGGGGACAAGCTCGGCTGCTTCAATCTGACGATGCACGGACACGCGGCCTGTGTGCAGTTCCTACGGCAGCAGAACGTCCCGCTCGTCCTGCTGGGCGGTGGCGGATACACCGTGAAGAATGTTGCGCGGGCCTGGACGTACGAAACCGCCTGTGCGATTGGGATGGAGGCGGAAGTCGACCCACTCCTGCCGTACACGGAATACTTTGACTGGTTCGGGCCGCGGTTCAGGCTGGAGGTGCCGGCGAGCAACATGGACGACGTGAATGTGCTGGACGGCTCGCTTAATGTGGTCAGGTAAGTTTTCGTGCCGCTTTTGTCTCAGTGCATCGGCGAAACGTTGTCCACAGGGAGAAAGCTCTGCGACAGCTGGCCCAGCTACCCCATGCACCGTCTGTCGGCCTCCAAGATGTCCCCTCTGAATCGGTCGCAGAGCATCTGAGACGGGGATGGACTACGATGAGCTAGATATGGAATTAGCGCGTGCGTGTGATCTCCTATGCACTCGAGCTCACCACAATCTCACAGCCGTGCAGAACACATCCGGTATATCAGCCACATGCAGGACGAGGATTCTGAGACCGAATCCGAGGACTCGGAGAACGAGTCGCTCCCGCCTCGGAAACGACCGCTCATGAGCATCATGACGAACGAATACTACATGCCGCCCTCGGCTCCGGACCCGACGCGCAAGTTCTTCACGGGACTGAATCCGTTTCGCGCGGACCGGGAGAACGTGCTGGTCCATGCTAGAGACGATGCGAGGCTACGGATGCTGTGATCTATCTGCTACCTGTTTTCTTATCTTGTACTCCTTTGTAGTCGATAGACGTGATGTATGATGCACTTGCGCTTGAAAAACTTGGATTGTTGCAGTTCGATTTGGGGTTCTGGTCTTGGGCATGGAACTGCGTAAGAAGCGTAGGAGCTTGATAGAAATGTCCAGCTAGAAGGAACAGATGGAAAGATGCCGCAAAGGCTAAAAGAAGAGAGCTCTCAGACGGGGAATCGAACCCCGGTCGCCCGCGATGATCAGAATCTAACTGACAGGCGGGAATCTTAACCATTGGACCATCTAAGATGCGATCAGAAACAGCGTTCAAATAATTAGACTTCACTGGTTGCGGATGCTCTTTGTAACTAGCCACCTCCACTACTCCTCAGTGTTGATCTAGTATCAACATGGGGGAAAAGAAGATCGTCAATATTTTGACTAAGCTCTCTAGTCAGCAATGGAGATAAACGAATGAATTTGACGACGCGACTGGGCAGGAAGTCGCGAGGTACGAAGCGTCAGCAGCAGCTTCCGGAACCAGGCGGGCCAGTCCTCATGAGTGGAACCTCGACCGCGTTCATTCTCGTTGTACGGCCCCGTTCGTTCATCGTCATGACTCGTGCGCTCCAAATTCGCGCGACCTGGTCAGATTCTCAAGCTCGGACACCGAATCAGGGCATACTGATACATTGAGTTCCTCGTGTGGAAGCTGATGCCCGTCGTGCAAGGTTGGCTGGCCGAAGCGGAGAAGTGCGGCAGCAGCAGCAGCAGCCCCATGCTTGCACCCCATGCTACGACGCTCGCCGTGAAGCCCTGCCATCCGATCCCGTGTTGCTGGCAAGGCTGCGGGAGCTGTATTTGGTAATATGGGAGAGGTGTTGGAGGTGCAAGCGAGATGAAGCGGCTGGCTGTCGGTCCGTTGCTTGACTTAGCGAGCCCTGCGCCAGTTCGCTAATTTGCATCGCGTCGAGAGCGGAAGTCGGCCGAGGGAGCGGCGATTAGATGAGCTGCGCCGTCGTATCTCGGCCTTCGCTGACAGTGACACTTTCCCACACCCCGGCGGCTTAGTCTTTATCAGAGTTCCCCGCCGAGGCTTCTGCCTGATCGTCGGTGCTGTCGGCAGCGCTTTGCCGAATGGCGTGCATGGGAATGACAATCGCTCTGAGAACATGTCCAAGTATGGGTGATGAGTTCTCTCCGTTGGTGGTTTCTCCCAAGCTGATTGTTGCGACGTAGACGGGCTGACAGAAGTCAGAAGGAGATAAGAGTACTATGAAAGTTTGGAGCAGCGAAAGTGAGGCTGGTGAGTTGAGTGTAAACAGGATGCCTAGTCTCCGTCTCTCAAGGCTTTGCGCATGAAGATAAAGCAGACCAGGTTCGTAAAGTTCATTGAGTGCGTCCACCGGTGTTCAGAATTGACTTGCCGGAACGGTCATCTGAATGTGCACCGATCGGCTTTGCATTGCAGGTGTGCTGGGATTGACCTGAACAATGTCAACATATAATGTAGTGCCATCCGATGGTCAATACGACGTACTGGCCTTCAGGGACGTGAGGACATGGTCGAGTCTGTGTACGTACTGGGTTCATTCGTGGACTTACTCAGCTACATGACATATTCAACCGAATGAATTGGACTGCCGGCTCCACGGAGAGTCAATAACTGTTCACGGGTTCAATCGTGTCTCTGCGCCGAACGTCGGATGAAAACAGCTTAGCGTTGTCAGCAAACAATGCGTTGATACAGGGGCTACTACTATTGGAGCGGTCAGTGGAGAGAGCCGTGGAGGCTAAAGGGATGCGGAGAATGCGATCGACGTCGGGTCCCACGGGGAATTTGGATTTGAGATAGGGTCAGTGGTGCATCAGAATCCTCCGGACGAACGTTCGATCCCAGACACTGGGCGATATTTCTATCACGCCTTCGAGCGGTCAACAGTCTAGCCACATTACATTCTCTACGCGGAGGGCCCCCAATGTAGACTCGGAATGAAATTTGAGGTCGTTTGCCCCTACTTTAAGACTGGTGCTCCATCACGCAGACCAACGAACAACAAAGGCGTGGGGTCTATTTGGACTTACTGGTATAGCCCACATGAAGCGTAGTGATTACATGAGCGCGCACATGCACCACCCCATATGATGGTCGCACGATGTCCGAGGACGGCATTTGAAGGCGTCCGGAATTGCCTCGCTCACTTCCGGATCGACACGCACAGGTCTGGGCCATATGACAGATGGCAGGGATGGCGATGCAAAAGTCTTGGAAATGGGAAGGAGGGGTGTCCAGGAGGGTTCCCGAAGGCGAGAAGGCAAGAAGGTTAGCTAACCTTGATAACAAGGGAAACCCTAGAGGGATGCTAGAACGGCGCCAGGAGCCTGGAGCCAGAGAATACAGAAGAAAGGGTCTGATGCGGTAGTCGTGTGGGTACTCCGGCAAGGCACGACGACGGGACTAGAGGGCGGATTCGGGATACCCTGTGGGGACAGCGACTCGGCTCAATCGAGGGTGCGCTTCAATCTTCGAAACAGAACGCGGGCCGTTTTCTTCCATTTTCAAAAGTGGGGATGTGAGACAGTCGGGGCACTGCATTCATCGGGATTGTTCGGACTTGGCGGGTCATGGTCGACTGGGAGAGTACGGATCGAGTGAGCAGACCGCGAACAGTGGGCACTGGACGTTGGCCGACGACGACGACGACGGACTGGGAAAGAATATCTGCTTGATAAGGGAGAGCAAAAAATGAAATGACTTCTCTGGTGTGTCGGACCGAATGGGGTACCCAATCTTAGATTAGGATCGAGGAAAAAATACACGGTGAGCAAATCACTTTTATTCAAAGGCTCGGCTTATCTTACCTCCCTCCCCCCACCTCCAGAGAGATCCTCGTCCCTCCCGCCGGTGTGGGCCAGCATAGCGAGTGCAAGGCAAGGTTTCACCAAAAAGGAGTGATGCGCTATTGACGTCACTGTCTTGCATTCCAGCATTTTCCAGGGACTTTGGTTCACTTTGGTCTCCCGTCGGCTTTCATCCCCTTGCCAGCCAGCTCCCTGCACATCTCTCCCGTCCCAGCGGCGCGCGTGCCATCCTCCCCACCGTCATCTTTCACGAGTGGTCTTTGTGTATCTACCTTAGGATGCCCTACAGCAACCCCTCGCATGCCCCCGTCCAAGCGCTCTCGGCTCCCACTTCCGCAGCGGGGGCTGGAAGACCGAATCACCGCCGTGCATGGACGCACCACTCGTACACCTTCGCGGCAGACACGGGCTCGTCCGGCGCCTTCGCCAGTCTGGGCTCTCTCCCGCGTCGCCAACCTGTGGCCCGGCCGCGCTTCCATCTTCATCAGGAAGACGAAAGTGACAACACGTCGAGTGATACCGACGAGGGTTCACGGCATGCGGCTGCTGGCGTGGAGGAGGATGATGAGGATGGATCACCGCCTCCGCTCAAGTTACGTGTAGGCGGCGCATTCAAGCTTACGCCACCTACTCCTCCTGGACTGGTGCACCGGCATACGCACCACGGGCATGTTCCAACGCATGGGCCTCAGAAACGCTCCCCTCTCGGCTCACCGCGAGTGTCGCCAACGCCTTCTTCCGCGCAGCTTCAATCACAACAGCAAGCCCCGCCTCGGACCGAAAAGGAGAAGCTTGCCGTGGACGTGACAGCTGTTCCGTTTCCCCGCTCCTCACCTCTGTCGTCCCCCTTCCCAGGAGTGGAATCGCCCACCATTGCTGGTAGGTCCACTTTCTTGATCTTGTTCGCCACATCCCTTTCTTTGATCTTGCGATCCACCCGTCATCCACAGTCCCTCGTGCCCTCGATCGACGTTTTACTGATTCCAGTTTCAGAAGCCCCGGCAAGGCCGTCCCTTCCGCCACGCACCTCGTCTCACCCTATCATTTTGTCGAACGGCAAGCCGCTGAAATCATCCCTGAAAGGGTCTAGGTCCAGCTCCACGCCCAACATCCCGGCAGTCCACCTCCGTTCACGATCGGCGCCAGCGACTCCATCCCTATCATCATCGTCTCTCTCTGAGCCGGGAACCCCGGATGAAGATGCATGGGAGACCGCCAGCCAGGACTCGAGCACGCCCAAGGTGGTGCATTTCCCGGATGCCGGGCTCGAGACGGTTCTCTTGTTCAAGCGGAGCGCGAGACCGGCGAGCGTCAGCTTGCCGATTGAGGACGAGACTGAGACCGAGACGGATACTGATCGCGACCTTCCGCGCTGGGCTGATGGAATCGTCGTCAATGGCCCTCCCACTCGCAAGACTTCCGCCAAGAGCCCGCTGGGTCCTGGACAGGATGCAGAGGGCTTGGCTTGGCGATATGTCATTCATGCGCCGGATGTGGGCACTCGCAAGATGGCGGAAGACATGGTTCGTCTGGAGAAACTGGATCTGGTCGTACCTGGCGAGGTGAGTGGCGTTGACCTTTCTTGTCCGGATATGGGATCTTGCTTGCCTTTTTGGTGTCTGGCGTTCTGTTCGGGTCCGCCACGTACATTCCGCCTGTCATTCTGCCTCTGGCTGTGTCGCTCTGTTTGTTCCTTACTCACACTCTCTCATCCAGGATGGTTCCATCTCGCTCTCTGGCACTTTGGTCGCCCGCAACGCGATGTTTGAAAAGCATCTGTTTGTGCGGTTCACACTCGACGCGTGGGCGACTACCTCGGAAGTCCGCGCGTCGTGGATGGAGGCTCTCCCCCACGTAGCTGATGAGCCTGGGCCGAACTGGGACCGCTTCTCGTTCAGCATCCGGCTCACGGATTACGCTTCGGCGACGCCGCGAGGTGTGTTCCCGCCCTTGCCCCCGCCTGGAACAACGCGGGTCTTGAGCGGGGAAAAGATGAGCGCTCTCGGCGAAGGCCGAGTCGGTCGCGGGCTGGCGGGACGGAGCATAGTGCTCGTTGTCAGGTACTGGACACCCTGGGTCGACGCAGCTGGTGTCGCGCCTTACCAATGGGTGAAAAGTGAGTGGTCGGCGCGCATACAGTCAGTTGGAGTGCTTACCCGTGTATGCAGACTCCCTGGCGTACCCTGAATCCGAGGCGATCAAGTCTGCGGTAGAACCGAGCAGCCATTCGGTGCCGGGCAAGTGGATCGGGACTGGAGGCGCTGGTCCTGGCGAGTGGTGGGACAACAATGGGGGGAAAAACTACGAAGTCGGGTTCATTGTTGAGCATGGTGAGTCTTCGTGTTTCTTATATCACTGGATGCCTCGTGTTGGCCATGCAGCTTTTTTGGAGCAGATCGCTGACTTCCATCAGTGTCGAAACCCCTCGCTGTTCAAAATGCGATTCCGTTCCCGAGTGCGCCTGAGGAGGCACAACATCAGCACGAACTTATCAACGGGCATCCTGTTTCTCCCGTTGCGTCGTCGCTGAGGGCACTGCCGATCAAGGTCCCCTCGGACCCGCCTCCTCCACCGGCACGCACGGCTCATGCACAGGCCCTTGCGGCCAAGCTCGGCCGGCTCAACTTGCGGAACTATGCAGCGCCATCATCCATCGCTCGGTCCAGTTCATTGCCGGGCGGATGGTCACCCGCACAGTCGCACCTGCCGCCGCCTCAGGTGCACTCGCCGCCTGCAAAGCAGGCGGAGACTGGCAGCGGCAGCCTGCCTCGTTTCTGGCCATGGGCGCCGAGCACGTCAGCCCCGGTCCCATCTCTGCCCGCTGTCACACCCGAGACGGTGGCACGAGAGGCATCGACGGATTCGGTGTCTTCGTCTGCGGACTCGAGCGACGAGGAAGACGCGCCTGGCAAGACAGAAGCAGCAGAACCAGATACACCGCCGACGTCGCCACTGGGTGCAGCAGGTCTCTTGCCCGCTATTGATAGTCTCAGCATGCCTGGACTCGACTCGGACGCAGGTTCTATCAGCTCGGCTTCGAGTTCACCACCGATGTCGTCCTCGCCGCCATCTCGTTTCTGGAGCATGGGTACATCTGATCCTGCGGCTACACCGATGAACAGCAGGTCGCCGACGGAAAACCTGACACCGCTGGGAAGCCCGCTGTCGCCCGGTGTCGCGGATTCGTCATCCAGCCTTTACGAAGCGTTTGTGAAGCAATGGTGTTTCGCAGGGACCCCCTCATGAACACTCACGACCGATCTCACGGCACGGCACGACAAAAGGCCCCCGACATATACGGAAACGCGTGGCCACTTTCTTGAAAAAAAAACCACCATGCTTTTAACCGCTTTCCCATGCGATGCATCTTGTTGTGTTGTGTACATTTTTACTGTCCTTACCTCACGGCCACCCTCACCCTCATCATCCTTCATCTTCGTCGTCTGATTTATCTTCTCCGTTGCCTGTTACGGGCGATCGGAGCGTGTACATTACTGTAAGTGTTACCTACCTAGCTACCGTCCTACCATATCATGACACGCACCCACGGACACGCGCACGGACACGTACGAGGCATGCATAGCACGGATACAACCACATTTAGATCGTGTGTCCCAGAAAAGGCTGCTACATATACATACTTAGACATCATTGTTGTACCTACCACGAACGCAGCAGCGTATTTATTCGTCTTTATCCCCCTTTAGAGTTGCTTTTACGTAGGGGTATTGAACATCTCGGAGAGTTGCATTCGCGATGCGATGGAAGAGCGTGTATGGATCAGAATGTACGGTACCGTAACGTACATGACGAGAGCGAAGCCGAGACATGGTTCTTCCCATTCGACATCCGTTTGCATTGGCAAAGTGTTCTGTCAGAAGCTGTGCGTGCGCGTCCCACGCCCCGCCACGGCCGGGATCTGATGAGATGAATGTGCGACGACGGGGGCTTGTGGATGTGGAGTTGATTGACAGACGTGTAGGCCGGAGGATGACAATGTCCGTTTTCCGTTGGGCGCGGCAGCGGCGGCTCCGGCAGATACTTCAAGGTGGGACTGTATACTTGTAGCCATACGGAGGGAGGTTCGGCCGACGATCCGCAGAGAAAGAGAGTCCCACGCCGTGCGATGGGCATGTTGGTGCCGGGTCGTTTGCTCGGATGAGGGTGGCCTTTAGATGCGCAGCAGCGGATGATTGGATTGCACATATCATGCGACCAGGGGGGTCTCGGCTATTCCGATATATGCATTGTATGAGCGGACAGCGTGTGCAGTGTTATTATAAGATATCCCGACGATCTTGGGAAACCAATGAATCTCGGAGTCCGAAATAGTCTGTGTGAGCGTAGATTGAGAGCGGCTCCGTTTGTATCCCGAGCTCCCGGGGTGAGAGCTAGCCGGTGTACCGTATCCGCAATGGTTACAGAGTAACCGTTCGCGCGGCGGTATCGAAATGGGAGACGCGGGTGCACGCACAGTTTCCAGCCTGAGCTGATGTCGGCTCCCAGAAGGGCATGGCGTGGGACAACATCCCTGACCCGTCGTCGTTCGCGGCCGTCGTACCCCGTCGATTTAGCGACAACGCAGCGGTGAGCGGGCGGGCCCGCTTTCGTGTATGGCCCAGGGTCGTGTAAGAAGGATAGGATCGCTGAGCATCGCTGCTGGGTACTGCTGCGCTCCAGAGTTGACAGAGCGCGGCCTGTCCTTAAGCGCAGTCTACGCGGGGGGCTTGGGAGATCGACGCGGAAGCTGCTCAGTGATCATGTCGGGGGCGCCGGCAGTTGAGGCCCCAGAGGCCAGGATCTCTGCAACTCGTGCTCAGTGGTGGAACATCGAACCCGCATTGAAACCGTTTCCGCGGAGCTTTTGGGGACGGTCGTAATTCCTTCTGAAAAGCTGAACCGCTGGCTTGTGAGAGGGTCGTGGTACCGATCAAACGAGTCTAGTGTCACGCGTCGAACTATTTGCCTTTGTTTCTTCGCGTCGCTTTACATCACATATGATTTTCTGCGCTTTGACATTGAGGACTCGCCCGCCAGCTATGGGGGGTTTCAAAGACGTGCAAACGAATTGACGAAAGTTGGCGCCGGTGTCCTCTTCGACAAACTTCCTACGAGCGCATCCGGCATCGATTATAACGAACAATATCTCACCACAATCTGAACACTTCAGCGTAATCGAGTATCTCGCATGTACCCATTATTCCGGTGATTCTTGCTTCATCATTTTGTTCCTGAGGGTTCTGTGGCATCGGCTTTCTCAGTTTCCATCCGTGCGTGTTCGCGCACGGCTCGCCGTCAATCAAGACGAGCACTTGTTGCGAACAAGTTTCCAAAGGAACCAAAACTGCTCATCATTTTCTACCCGAGGGTGTTGTGACATCGGCTGTCTCAGTGTAGCTCAGTGTCCACTGTCCATCCGTGTTGTTCCCGTCATCGAGCGCAGTTTGGCTTCAGAAGCCTTGGTATACAATCCTGCAGAATACGGTTGTCCATACAGGACATGGTCTGTTTCCATGATGGAACACGATGTAGTGCTCGGGGTCCTGGCACTCCGTGACAGGATGGCTCATATGCGCTGACTGGCAGGTACATGATGACGTAAGAGGCGGTGCTAAGCCGCGTCGCCGTCGGTGATCGCGTCGGGGGAGCGTAACTCTACAATGGAGGGTAGTCCATATTCCCGGTTTTTTTTTCATAGGTGATTCCTACTGGGAATGCAGTGTAATCCCTTTGTATCATCCTTCAGAGTGTCAGCTGTAAAGACAAAAAATTTAGCCATCGGATGAGTTCGGTCCGATCATTTCTGATGATGTTCACACGACTTTACATGCATGTGACCAATAGTCCTCTCGAAACACATGCATGGGTTTCTGTGCACACGACCGCAAGTGCTCGCGGTCGTCGTCTCAGATAATGAGCTCATTTTCATCTCCCTCTGCTTCAATCCCTTGCCGCGTGCCCAAACCCAGGCCCACCGGGATGGCCCTAGGCAGGGGAATTGGTGGCAATGCTCTGATAAGCGTGTTGCGATGGTGGCGAAGAACACTGATCGAAGCTATCTACGGAACAAACGGCATGTCTACAGAGCCAATCAGCACAGCCACCAATCACCCCTCCCGCCCCACACTCACCCGGATCGTCGCAGTGTTCGCCTATAGGTTTAAGGCCTATAGGCTTATAGGCCTATTTAAGGCCTATAGTAAAGGCCTATAGGATCACCGAGAGCATCTTATAGGCCTATAATAGGCCTATAGGCCACATGAGGTCCCAACACGTGATCAATTAATTAAAATTAATGCATCGTATGATCGATTCCTGAGTATCGGCGCATCACGCTGATTATGCTACTTAGTGTTCGACAAATTCCCCCATGGAAACCGCTTACACTCAAGATCCTATTTGGCGAAGCCACCAAGCCACAGCTCCGCAAGCCATTGTGCCATGTCATGGAGGAGGAAAGACTCATGGGGGAACTTGCTAATGAAGTGGAGGATGCGATTCCTGATGATGGTGCCATTAAAATCGACTCGTCAGACGAGTTCCAGCTCTAGTTAATCTTGTACAACACTCTTTTTTTGGTATTGATTGGGCACATTTTTGATCACGTGCAAATTTTAAGCCCTATAAACAGGCCTATAATTATAGGCCTATACCTTAAATAAGGCCTATAGCCCCCCGGAGGTGCGTTTAAGGCCTATAGGACGAACACTGGATCGTCGCGCACTCGATTTGTGAGGTGTTGAGACTGATCTGAGTGCAGTTGTTGCACGGGCGGTTAGAGATAAGACCATGAAAGAGTGTGCCACACTCGGTGCAGGGAGGCATGAATCAGAGATGTGGGACACAAGCAAAACTGAGGGAGTCAGGGTCGAAGTTTCACGGGACCGTTTCCCTGCACACGTAAGCTCTGATGGCGGTCTCGGAAAAGTGCGTGTCGTAGGCAGTATAACATACCTGAGTTACTCGTTGGCGCAAACTCATGAAAACGATTCGCATATGTTGCCTGCAGCTGTCAGGAGTCCCAGGTGAGCATAGATTACTGTACGCGTTCACTGTGGCCTGGTCACGTGACGGTGAAGACCAAGAAGCGAGCACTACTGACGTGTTCCAAATGACGACCAGAGATCATGTCACAGTATGTCACATCCATCACTAAGACCCCCAAGCTCAAATCACGATCGCATCTATCAAAACAGACCATGTCCTTAATGGCCAACGGTATGCAGAAATCGTGAGTAAGGTTTTTGCCTTTTCCTGGCGAACCTGTCCTTCCGTTGTTTCAGTGGAGACGAAGAGATGTTCTCGCGAATAATATTGGTACAACAATAGGAGGAAAGAAATAGCGCGCAGGCTCAATTGAATAGGAATCCACTTCCTAATAGACCAAATCCGGCCTTGGCCGCTCCCCTCATGAGAGCTGCATTCGCGTGGGTACCCGCGTTGCCGGCACGCAGTCCGCCGTACCGGGCCCCGCCGCCCAACGCCGCGCCCGCCATATCGCGCACGCCCTGCTGGAACTGCAGCTCGCGCGCCGCGGCGTCGGGGTACGCGTACGGCGGGAAGTCGGAGCGCTGCATCTGCCACGGGAGCTGGACGTTCAGGCCGCGCAGGACGGCGCCGACGTGCGCGTACATCTCGTCGGGGCCCGCCAGGATCTTGTGCGCGAGGTACGTGTTCCAGCCCTCCCACGTCAGGACGTTCGAGCCCGCGCATGGCGCGCCGATGGTTAGGTCTGCCCCGGAGAGAAGTCGTCAGCACGGTGCAGGGCTGGGAGGGAAGCGCAGGCGCGGATAGACGCACAGTAGTAGGGGAGGACATGGGTCTCGAAGTACGGCGGGATCGATTTCCCGGCGAGCCTCCTGAAGAGGCTGACCTTGCTGGGCTCGATGAGCTGCGTCCCGCTCGGATACCCGCTCCGATCAAGGCCCATGAAGATTTCCCGCGATATGATGTGGAATGCCTCGAGCCGGTATCCCTGCGCGCCGAAGAGCGCCGTCGATTGCTGCTGCTGTGGGGCGGGCGCTGGTGCAGCGGCAGGCGCGGGTTGCGCGATGAGAGTGGCGCTTGCGGATACACCGCCTATCGTCGTTGTCGAGCTCGTCCCTCCGGCGCTGGTTCCACCCGCAACATTTGTTCCACCCAAGATAGCACGCCCGACGCTCGTCCCCCCCTCGCTCGCCGCGGCAGCCACACTTATTGAGGAGGACCGGATACTCGATCCTGTTCCTCCCGCGCTAGTCCCTCCAGAGATTGATGGTGATTTCACACCGGGGGCGGCAGCCGTCATCGGTGCCTCGGCGAGTCTCGCACCGCATTCGGTGCAGAAGCGGCCGTCGCCTTGAGTCCCACATTCGCCGCAGAACACCATGGTGGTTGGGAGAGAGAGGACGACGGGTGCTGCCAGGATAGCAGCATGTCACTGGGGATCGGAGATGGACGTGATAAATGTTACGCTCACGCGAGACGTGCCTGTGACAGGGAATGACACGTCATTAGTCCCGCTTCTGTTCCGCACACACACACCAAGACATCGCAGGTGGACGGACTCATGCCGTCGCTGTGCGCGAGAGAAGTTCATCGAACCTTTGCTTGACGCGATATTCGAGTGAGAATCGTTTATTGATACAATGTACAATGGGTACGTCGTCGTGAAGGTACATGAAAGCTCGTCATCATGGATCACACGCTGGGCCTTTTCTCGTTGCTCACTCGCACATCGTCCGCCTTTTCGGATTCGTGCTGGTCATGCAGATGCGGTCTCCAGCCTGCCGAGTGCCACGGCTTGACGCCAGACCGGTACAGCTCGTCGACCTGTAGCAGTGGATCAGTCTTCACAGCGTATGCCATTCAGTGCACCGGCAACCGCACCTCTTCCAAACTCAGTCCCTTGGTCTCGGGGATGCAGAAATACACGTAGAACCAACCTATGCGAACTTGTCAGTCCTGCGGCCGCTTAGACGACATCTACTACAACGCACCGAAGAACAGGGCGCCGAAGAAGATGAGCCAAATGAGGGCGCCGATCTTGTTCGCGATGCGCGGGGCGAAGAAGCCGAGCAGGAAGTTCCACAGCCAGTTCGTCGCGCTCCCCAGCGCGATCGACTTGGACCGCACGCGGAGCGGGAACGACTCGCCGAGGTACACCCAGGGCGTCGGGCCCCAGAAGATCGAGAAGAACATGACGTGCAGGACGGCGAACGCGATAAGCGAGTCGCCGCCTGCCTTGTTCCGCGCCGTCAGCAGTTCTTTCGGGGTGCCGGCCTGGGATTCGGTTGGTAAGTCTCGTATCGAAAGCGGTCGATCGATGCGAGATGACTCACAGGTGCGACGGTGTAGTGGCCGACCAATCCGCCGATCAACGCACAAGTTGCTTCGAGGACGGCACCAGTCAGTAAAGAACGACGTCTGCCCCAGGCCTTAAACCCAGTCAGCGGGGCCAGTCGTGGAGGCCGCATGTGTAGCACACCTCAATCAAGTACAGCGCAGGGACCGTTCCTATCACCGAAACACCACCGACGATGACTTGAATGATATACGGCGACAGCGAGGTGCCCGCACTGGCGAAGAACGTGTCTCCGTAATAGTCTGTCGAGCCCCAGAATCAAGACCTGCTTGGCCAAGACGACAGTTGCACAGCACTCACAGAAGAAGTTCTGCCCGTTCAGTTGCTGGATGAACTGCAGCATCATCCCGTTGATCGTCCGCTTCCACATCGCGTTCCGGCTGGAGAAGCATTCCGCCCAGGTGGCCTTCCCGCCCTCGTTCTCGAGCCCGATGGCGTACTGCAGCTCGTCCACGGTGTCAATGACGACCGGATCGTCCAGAGCGACGCCGTTCAGGTCAGCGATGACGGCGCGCGCTTCCTCGACCTTGCCGTTGCCCAGCAGATGACGGCTGGAAGGGCGCGTGGTAAGCATGTGTTGAGGGAGATAGGGAAGGAGACTCACGGAGATTCGGGCAGGAAGAAGATGCCCGAGAGAAGCGCAAGGCCCCACACCATCTGCAGACCGACGGGAATCCTCCAGGAGGCGGAGTTGTGGATGGTGTGTGTTCCGAGGTCGATCACGTAGCTCAAAAACAGACTGCGGCGCAGGTCAGCGGGAGAGTGATGCTTTGGGAGAAACCACATGCCCGACGATGATCTGCAGCTGGTAGAGGACGAGGAACGTTCCGCGGTACGCCTTGGGCGACGTCTCTCCGTTGTAGAGCGGCACGATAGCTGGCCGCATGTAAGCATATAGTCACTGGCCAAAAAACACGGTAGCGCGGACCTGAGAGCGCCCCCACACCCAGTCCAGCGATGAATCGTCCGACCGTGAGCTGCGCGAGCGAGAACGTGGTTCCTGTCTGGATTGCGACGCCGACAGTGAAGATGCCCGACCAGATGAGGATGGAGCCCCGTCGACCCATTGAGTCGCTGGTAAAGGCCTGTCCGAGCGCGCCGACGAATGTGCTGCGAAGACTCAGCGCGTTTCCTGACCAGAGTGTCGTCGCACACGTACCCGGCAGACAAGAGTGAGGTGATGATGGACTGCCGTGAACTCGAAAGGAACATGGTCCCGTCAGCTCCCACTTCTCCAAAGCGATTGATGAAATCTGGCATGATGAGGCATCCCTGCAGCGAGGCTTCAGAGGCTGGCTCTGAGATAGGCAGGGATTTGGACGAACTGAGATGACACCAATGTCGTAGCTGGTGGGAATATAAGCACACAACCATTGAGCAGCTGGTCACATTCAGACTCACCCGAACAAGAAGCCTGGCAGAATAGGTAATGTATCTGGTAACGATGTTAGGAGATGCAGATAGAGAAGGTGATATTTAGCCCACCAGTTCGCGCTCTCGGCCCCCAAACTACTCAAACGCACCTCCTTCATCCTGGGTCAGCAAACACAACTCAGCGCCCAACACACGGAGACGCACCAAAGGCAATGAAGACGGCGAGCAGGACCGCTCGGGGCGTTACAGTTGCGTGCGCATCCGCCATGGGAGAGTTGTCGAACAAAGTCGAGGGACGGTTGACACGAAGAACTTGCGAAGCATGGAGGATGGCACATTTTATCCTGTGGGGCTGCTCAGCTGACCGCACGGTCCGCAAGACGGTCCGATATGTTGTCGCGGCTCGCAGAGGGTGTGTCCGGGAAGCGAGTGCTTCGATGATGGGGTGTGGAGCCCCGCAAGGCAGGTCTTCTCCGTGGAAATGCGGGAATCTCCCACGCGGGCGCGCAGAGGCCAATCGTGAGGTCATAGCAGTGGAGCCCTCGGGCCCGAGCCACGCGATGCGACCCATGCAGGCTCGCGTTCGCGTCAACTGGGATGACATCACAGCCTCTGTGGGCCGCAAAACACGAAGAAAACGATACCGGCGTGTCTACCCGATCAGTCATATGACCTCATGGCATTGAAGGTGTGGGTTTGCCATCTCTGTTCTCCGTGGAAGCATTCCATGATAATCACCGACTTCTGGGCCGCCGGTTTGAATGGAGTGATATTACAACTTTCCGATGTTGCGTGTGAGAGCGCTGCTGTTCCCGTTGGAGACTAATATGAGCCATATTGCTGATACTGTCATTTTAGCAGATGCAATCGCGTCTAGTGAGTGCACACTAAAACTGGGACTGGTTTTTGCGGTCGGGTAAGTCCAGTAAACGAAACCGCCACTGTCAATCAATCAATCAATCAAACACGTGGCGCTTCTTCAGGTCATGTGATGCTGCCCCTCTTGATCTTGACCGCGACCACGCGCATGTCACAGTCAGACGACTCCGAGTACGCGGCCTACAATGATTTCGAGGGCCTCGAGGAGGCAGACTTTGCTTCTCTTGATGCCTCAACCTCTGCGCACTTCGCCACGCCCCAGGGAAAACCATCACCCGTGTGTCAGCCAGCTGTGGAGGAGCCGACAGCGACCAGTCCTTTCCGACTGTTCAGAAAGAATGGCACACTGTCTGTCACCGACCTGATCTCACTGTCGTGGTATGTCCGTGCGTCTGGTCTTGATGTGTCCTCATGCCAAGGCAGGTGCGAAGTCCAGTACGATTATGGACTGCGGCAGCGCCGTTCTGCGAAGCTCGAGAAGCGGCCAGCATCATTCAAGACGGAGAAGGGCAAGGAAATCACGGTCCGGAAAGACGTCGCTGCGCGGAATGACCGGACCACGAAACGAGGACAGGTGTGATCCGATCGGTCTCGCG